CAAAATAAAATATAAAACAGGCTGGGGATGGGGCTCAGTGGTTGAGCACCCTGGGTTCAATTCCTGGTACAAAAAGAAAAAGAAAAAGAAAAGAAAAAAACCCGAAATTAAACAAATGAAAACCTCCCCAAACAAAAAGGAAAAACAAAAACACCCTCTATCTTTTTCAGAAAAATGTATCCCTTATTCATAAATCTAAGTAAAGATACATGGACTACTAGGCTTATAACTCCCTTTAAATGTGACAAGTGTACAAAAAAATTAGTAAACTCTATTTTTATTGCTTTTTTATATTACTACATATAAGAGGATTATGATAAGCTATCCTAAAATCAAATTAAAAAATAAGTTCTTAACAATAACTGAAACTTCCTTCTTTCTACTTCAAAGCTTCCTTTTTCCCTTCCCTTCTCCTGACACTGGGGATTGAATTTAGGGGCACTCTACCACTTAGCTACATCCCCAGCCCTTTTAAAATTTTTATTTGGAGACAGAATCTTGCTAAATTGCCCAGGCTGGCTTCTAACTTGTGATCCTCCTCCAGTTTCTGGGATTATAGTCACGGGCCAACACACCTAGATCGACACTTTGTTAAAAGATACATAAACACTTGTAGGCTCATTTCAATCAGCAACTCCTGTGTGTTTGGTATGCATTAATTTTTGTCTAATGTATCACAATCTTTGTCCACTTTAATGATCAAATTCAGCTTTTCTTAATCTTTTTTGTTGGAAAAAAAGTTATGAAATATATTGCTTTGAAAAATTCAAATACAGTGGAAGAATAGAATGAAGTCATCTCCTGAGTTCTCCCTACCATGATCCTATTCTAATAAACTATAAGGCCATTTTGATTCCTTCTAGCTATTTTTTTGTGCATGAATTAGCACCTACACATATCTTTGTTCCACATTTTATTGTAAGTAGGACTTATTATACCAAATATTTTATAATTATTAGTTTTCTATTTAAGTCTACAACATATTTTATTATGGGTACATATAGATCCCAGCTTTAAAAACAGCAGTAGGCAATTTTTTTGTGTGTGTGAAGTATTTAAATTGTGCAGTGAGTTCAAAGGATTAGATGATCAAAGAAATAGATGAGACCACAAGGTGGCACTAGCACACAGTTCTTTCGGGAGAACCTTTGACAGATTTGTGTGTTAAGGAAGGGGATGTGGGGCACTCGCTCCCAGCAGGGAAACTTCCAAAGGCAAGTGTGTAGAGGTCATTACCCAGAAGGGGGAGAGAGGAGAATCAGAGAGGGATCTGGAGGATGGGAGACAGTGTCTAAACGATGCCACTCAGCAGCAGGTAGGGAGGCTAGGACAACCCCCCTGCCCAGGAACAGCGATTGTATTACATTGGTATCTATGACTGGTAGATGTTAGGTGCAATTTCTCAGGTTTTTTAAAGCAGGCAGGCTCTAAATAGCGAAGAAACTACTTTTATGCTACATTTAAAATAATTGGATGTGTACAACTTTGAGTTTGGCACTGGCAGGCTTTTGAGTTAACAGGTCCCTGCCTGCTGTGAAATAGACATAGGACCAATATACAGGGACCATCTTTAAATTCATTTATGTGTCAATTAGTTCCCTGTTGATAGACATTTTACAATTTCTCCCCTGTGGGGCAGGAGGCGTCACCAACAGGTCAAAAGAAAACTTACTAATTTACATCGTATCTGACAAAAAGCTAATTTTATCAAAATAATCACAACTTCTAAAAATAAGTAGAATAAAATGATAAAGTAAAACAGACGTCTCCAAAATCAACCCTGAAAAACTACAGGAACAGGAAGGAAAAGATTTGGAAGTAAATTGCAATTGTGAGACACCCCGGGGAAGACAGGAGGAGGGGAGTGATGGGGAGGAGGGAGCAGGGGCATGTCTCCGTTGCAGAGCAGGAGGGCGCCCATGGCTGCTCTGGGGGATCTGAAGAGGTTGCACTTTTAGCTCTGGTCTCTAGGACTCTGGAGTGGGAAACACTGCAACCTCCCAGTGTTGTGAGGTTCCACCAAAGCTGCACAGGGGGAGGCAGCCCTAAGGGGCTGATGACAGCGGGAGACTTATGAAGGACGCCCTTGCAGGCTCCTGCCTCCAGCTCTCCTGTCAGCAGAGGTTCTTCTGTCCCCCTGATGCTCTCTCCTCAGAAATTTAAACTTTTTTGTTTTTCTTAAATCCTCCAAGAAGGATACAGATGGGTGACTCTGAGCATTTTTCCAACACACATGACAGCCAGTTTCATCAGTGAAATCAATGTGATGCTGCAGGTCCAAAGAAAATATATCCCTGAGGAGTACTACTACGAGAGAAAGGCTTTAAAAATGGATCATATGTACCACGTGAAGTAATTGTTGGAACGGATGGACAATAATTCAAAATAAGTATAATATATATCCAGAAGACTTAAGGTGATATTGATATCACAGCAAAGAAATGTGGGATTACTTTAAAAAACAAGAATAAACATTAAATTTTAAAATGAAACAGGTGGGTTGGGCATGGAGCTGAGTGGTAGAGCGCTTGCCTAGCACAGGTGAGGCCCTGGGTCCGAGCCTCAGCACCACATAAAGATAATTAAATAAAATAAAGGTATTGTGTCCATCTACAACTAAAAATACTTTTTAAAATGAAGCAGGTGAAATGAAGATGACAGTAGGTGAGATATTGTCAAGATGATTGCATCAAAGAAGCAAATAGTAAACCAGAAGATCTAACTATTAACCCTCACCAGGGCAGCAAAAAAAATAGAGAGCTGGGGAAAAAATAAAAGAGATGGAAAAAGGGAAAGAAGCACTTAAATAAAGGGAGGGTGGACTGATCACTATTCAGATAATTCAAATTCTGTGAAGAAATTGAAAGAAACCAGAGAGTGCCAAAGATATGTAAGAAAATACCCAAACCTAAACACTTTTAGTGCAACTGAAGAAGAGCTATAACAATATAAATTATTAAGTGATTCCTCAAAGAAAATTAAACCATTCTCAAAGGAACAAAAATTAAACAAAATTGAGATTTTACAATAGTGATACTGGAATCAAGAAACAAAGAAATATTGTATTTGGGTTTAAAAACAGATTCTGCATCTGGGGTTCAAACAACTTCAGATGGAGAATGTTAGGAAAAATTGTGTCTGTGTCGAACATGAACTTTTTCTTCTTGTTCCCTAAACAATACTATTTACATAGAATTTATATTGTATTAGAAATTATAAGCCCACCTACAGAATATTTAAAACATATGGGAAGATGTGGGTAGATTATATACAAATACTTTGCCATTTTATATAAGAGACTTAAGCATCCACAGATTTGGGTATCCACTTGCAAACATAAAGTGTGTATAAAATGTAATGTGGAATGTAAGGAATAATTATAAAATAAACATCAAACTCACCACCACCTAGGTTAAGAAATACTGCTGTTTATCTATTAAAGTCTCAGTAAAAATGTAGTATAATTTATTTTTATATGAATGGAATTATACTTACATATATATTTCTGTATACTTCTTTATATTATGGTTAAAAATTTATCCATGGTTTAAAATAGCTGTAATTTGTTCACTTTTTGCTATATAAAATTTACTATAATAGATGTTTCAAGTCTTCTGTTAATGAACAATTAGTTTTTATTTCAGTCTGGGCTGTTATGAACAGCATGGCTAAAGAGGATACTGTCGTTGTGAACAATGCTGCTATCCTTGTATGTATATTCTGAGAGGCATATGTTGGAGTTCTTCTAGGTTATGTATGTGGAAATATGTATACTCTACAGATTGTAGACATTTTAAATATCTAGATAATGGTGAACTGTTTTCCAATGTAGTTCAATAAGTTTGCTCTTTGAGGTCAGGAACAAAAGAATGCTCATTACTATTACTATTTATAATCCTATCTTATTAAGAAAATGCTGTTCAATTCTGATTCATGAGTGTTTGTAAGATCTAAAAAAAAAAAAGGCCAGGTGCGGTGGCGCAGGCTTGTAATCCCAGCTGCTAAGGAGGCTCAGCAAAAGTTAGGCGCTAAGTAATTCAATGAGACCCTGCTTCTAAATAAAATAACAAAATAGGGCTGGGGATGTGGCTCAGTGGTTTAGTGTCCCTGAGTTCAATCCCCTACATCTCCCCCTGCCCCCCCCCAAAAAAAAACCCCAAAAAGCTAGGCTTCAAATTTTAATGTGGAAAGATATTTGATTATGGAACTACTTAAGTTTTCTACTCTTTTGTGTTGGTTTTGATAGGTCATATATTTTTGTTAGAATTGCTCCTCTTTACCAAATTTGAAACTGAATGGCATACATTTGCATATAAGATCATCTTCTGTTTACATAAATCTGAATCGATTTCAGTTGTTTCAAATTTGATCTTAGTGAATTGGGTCTCCTCTCATTCTTTTTTTTTTCTTATTTTCCTTTCTCCTCTTCCTCCTCTTTTCCTTCTACTTCTTCTCCTTTATGCCCAATCAGAATATGAACTGAGGGCAGGAACACTGACAGAATATCCTCAGTGCCTGGCATACAGTAGGCATTCCATAAATGTTTATTCCGTGAACTTATTGTCTATGGAATTGTAACCTGGTGGGAGAAAACGTTAAAACTGGGCTGGAAGGGGCCTTGAATATGAGGTAGGTTTGAGGCTTTGTGGGAATAAACCAGGAATCAGGTGGAGAAAGCTTTGCCCAAGGTAATCCAGCCCAGGGAACAACTTCCAAGGCGTCCCAGAGGCTGGAAGCCTCCCAGGAGGCCGGGCATTTGCAGAGCTGGGGCGCGGGCCAACGCCTCCTGAGAGGGGTCCAGCCTCTGGGATGCGGAGTCTACTTAGTAAGGGGAACTGTCTTGAAATCCACGGCGTGGGGATGAGCGCCTGGCCACGGTCACCCACCCACCACAAGCGGCCTGCCCCGCGGACACCGGGGAGGGCTGTTCACTCCGCTAGAATTTGAAAGTTAAGCACGGGCGGAAAAGACTCGGTCTCAGTTTCCGGGGACGTTTTAGAGGAACGCACCCGCCCTTCTTCTTCCGGTCCGTCCCTCACAGCTCCCGGGATCCCACGTGTGTTCAGCCTGGAGTATCCGCGTGTGCTGCTGCGGCTGTGGTTAGTGATTGACGGATCTGGAGTGCGGAGGCTCTCCGCGGCCTCCTGGACGTCACCATGGTGGGCCCCTTCCCAGTTTCCTGAGCCCTGTCGGTCGGTTCCCTGGAAGTCTCCGGTGTGGCGCAACGGGGCGGGGGAGGAAGCTAGCGATTACTTAGGGTGAGGGAGCCCGGGGAGCTGGCCCGGAGAGGCGTCCAGGCCCCGCGCCCCCGTCACAGTGTTGGTAGGCTTTCCTCCCGCTGTGCCTGGTGCCCGGCTCCTTCCTCGTCGCTTCCCGCGGGGGAAATCCCGCGCCTTTGTATTGTAGCTGCTGTGTGGTGGACACGAGTGGACCCGCCAGCCCTCTTCTCTGCCCTGAGCTTAGTCGCCTCTCCCAACTTAGCCACCCTCTCCCGCCCCCCGCGCCTGCCCTTCGTTAGGGCCCAGAAGCTGTTTTGTTTTTGTTAAAAACTTCAGTAGATATAATTTATGAGTATTCACAAAACACGATTAGGTGTAAAGGTGAACAACATAAGGAACTCTCTCACTCATTTTCGTGCTCCTTTCCACGAACCTATCACATACAGGAACCCCTTAGAAGTAAAGAGCATGTAGATTTTATAATTTTATTTTTTACTTTCTTTACAGGTACTACCTGTGTTTGTGTTCCACAACAGTGTGTTTTCCGCTTGCTGTGTTCTTGAGATTCATTCCTAAATAGGAACATGTTTTATAGACATATTAATAAGTAAGGAACGTATACGTTATCCAGTTAGTTTTTAATAAAAGAACAATTTAAAAATTTTATACTAGTGAAAAGTTATATTCTGGCCACAGTGTTTTTTTTTTTTTTTTTGTCCTTTCTTTGTTCCTTCTTGCCTTTTTTGTGTCAGTCACTTTTGTCTGTCTGATCTGTTATCCTTTTGCTTTAGATAGTGTGTATTTGTGTAAATTCAGCCTGTTGGCTAACATGTTTATCTCTTTCCAATCCTTTATAATTTTTCAGAATGGAACATTAAAGCAATTCCATGTTATTGTGTGGTAGCTAAGAGGTTGATTAGCATTTGAATTGTTAACTTTGACAATTAGAACTTCAGTTTGCCAATATATAGAAATACATTGCCTTGGCATAGACGCGAAAAAAAAAAGTGGCATATAAATATATTTTCTTTGGTATATTTCTGGCCCTGCCATTTTTCTTGATAACATCAGTGCTTCTCCTGTCAGTACAGCTCAGAATGTGGCTTCACCTCAGAATGCTTGACACCTGTGATTTTTCAGGAAATTATTTAACTCTGTTAAATTGGGATGGCAGTAGCTTCTACCTCATAAAAATGTTGTGAAAATAAATATAAAGTACTTAGCCCTATACTGGCACTTAGTAAACGTTAGTATTGTTATGAACTTTAGTAATAAAAGTAAATAATAACAGCACAGCTTTTATTGTTCACTTTTGTTACTTTGTTCATTTATATTCTGACTCTTTCCTAGAGTTGTGCATTTTTTTTTTTAGAGAGAGAGAGAATTTTTTTAATATTTGTTTTTTAGTTTTCGGTGGACACATCTTTTTTTATTTTTATGTGGTGCTGAGGATGGAACCCAGCACCCTGCACATGCCAGGCAAGCGCGCTACCCGCTTGAGCCACATCCCCAGCCCCAAGTTCATATCTTTTGTAAGATCAAACTAATGTAACTACATGAAGAATCTTTTTCAGTTAAGCCATCCCACTCAATATTTCTTTATTCTGTCTAGTTTCTATGGTTTTCTTTATTCTGTTCCTAGTGGTTTTAATTTTGGTTTGTGCAATGATGCAAAACATTCATTGATATACACCTCTTTCACATAAGCTTGTTATTAAATTTAAGTGTGCTTTTAGGGTTTTTTCCCCTAGCTAGGTTATAAACCACTGAAAAGTGTGACATTATCCTCCATTGATTTATCATATTTATTCCTATAATATCTGGCCATTAAACACTAATGACTGCCTACAAATTCCTTGATAGCAGGAATTTTGTGCTGTAAGTCTCACCCCTGTGAATGTTAGCTGTAACAAAAAATCAGCTTTCTGGTAATGGAAACTTGCTCCCGAAACTTAATAAAAGTAAAAAATATTAATGAATATCAACCTTGTATACCAACCATTTTTCAAATAACATCATATGCACATGGCTTCTTAAAAAAAAAGTGGTTGTGAAAAGTGTATTTTTTATTACTGCCGTAAAGAATTCATATAGATTTATAGATTTAGTAACTTAAAACTACAGATTCATTTTCTTATATTTCTGGAGGTCTGAGGTGCAAAACTGAGTCTCACTATAATCAAGGTGTTGGCAGGTTTATTTTCCTGGTTTGTTTCATTTCCTAGAAGTTATCTACATTTTTTAACTCCTGGCTCCTTCATTTTCAACACCACGAGCATCGTATCTACAAATCTTCCAGTAAAGATCCATGTCCTCTAACAGTGATCTTCCTGCCTCCTTTTTATAAGAGCCCTTAGGATTTTAATGAGCTCACATGGATAATTCAGGATAATCTCCCCATCTCAAGATTCTTAATTGCATCTGCAAAGTATTGCCATGTGTAGTAATCACATTTTCCCAGGAATTTGGACATGGACATGTTTGACATGGGATGAAGAGGCAGAGCACTATTTGCCTACTATACAAAATAAATTTTCCTCCAACTCTGTTGCCTACTACTCCAGTTGAACTGAGAAACAAGCAGTGTTATTAGCTCTTAGCTATCCATTCAGGTATTTTATATGCATATGGCAGTGTGTATGTCCTCTAACCCTTTTTTTATATAAATAGTGTAATAGACACATTCCTGTGCCCCTTGCTTTTTTTTTTGGTCTTACTTGATTTTAGAGAGCAGTCCATGTTAGTAAATAGATGCTATGATTTGAATGTGTTCCTCAGAAGTTACTGTGTTGGAACCCAGATTGCTCTATGTGACTGTGTTGGGGGACCTAGATAGGAGATGTTTGGATCATGGAGCAGAGCCCTCTTTAATAGATTGATGCCTTTTTCACCCAAATGGCTTAGAAATGGGTTGGTTGTCCTCGGAGTTCAGCCCCTTTTCTTTCTGGGATGTACTCTTGTTGTGTATTCTCTTTCTCCTCTTCTCACTTCCATCATGCTAAGAAGCAGCAGGAGGCCCTCACCAGAAGCAGCTGTCTCATCTTGGATTTCCCATCCTCCAGTACTGTGAGCCTAAATAAGCTTTTTTTCTTTTGTAAATTTTCCATTCTCAGGTATCCTGTTATGAGAATAGAAATTGAACTAAAGCACTTGGTTTTTAAACAGCTACCATTCCATTGTTTGCTTTTACTGAAATTTATTTAAACTGATCCCTGATGGAACTTTAAACTGTTCCCATTCCTTTGCTGCTGTAGACACCGTAATACTGCTGCATTGATATTATTTTTTCCATTTGTACATGTGTAAATATGTCTATAAAATAATTAATAGAAGTAGAATTCCTTGGTCAAAAACTCACTTTTGTCTTGACAAATTGCTCTCTAGAGGACTACCAGTTTATACCCCACTGGTTTGTGAGAGTCCCAGTTTAACCACATGCTCACATATGCAAAGCTAATCATTTTTTATCTTTGTCAGTCTTAATAATTCCAGTTTTTAAATGTTTTAACTTAAGTTTCTTTTAAATTAAACCACATGTCAATTGAAACATTTAAAAAACTTTTTTACTCTATTGTTTGTTTGTTTTGGTTTGTTCTAATTTTTGTTTTAGATTTTCAGTCTTTTTCTTTTAATCTTGCAGCTTTGTAGTTACGAATTTTAAATTTTTATGTAGTTGGAGTTGTTATTTTCTTTTAGTCTTATGGATTTTATGTAATGTTTAAAAAGATCTTATTCTGAAATTTAATCTGCATTTTTTTTCTAGGACTCACATTATTTCATGTTTTGTGCTTATGTATGACCTATGAGGAGCTTAGAATATGGACTGATATACCAATTTTTTAAGAAATTATATGCTTTTTACTTTATTTACATTTTTTGAGTACTTGAAATATTTAACAGTAATCTGAAATATGAACTCACAGAAGATGCTCCCTCCTTCCCTTCAAAAAAAGCTCAACTAAGCTTTTGTGATATAGAGAAAGAATTGTTATCAAATAGTATTTATATTGTCTTATTTTACTACATAATATGGACTTTAAAATTTTATTTTGTTAATAATGTCTGTGTTCAGACTCTTGAATTTGGCTTTAGAAGTATTGATTATTTCCTATGGTAAAGTACATTTGGAGTTCCAAAAGTTGATTTGCAACTCAAATATCCTAATGTCCAAGAAATTTGGAATTTTTTTATCCAGTTTGTATTTCTTGATCTAGGTTTTCAGCCTATATGTGTGTTGCAGTCCTGATGGTTGATGAATTGCTTTCAATAAGACAGTGCCTTCATCCTTGCTGTGTAATTTGATTGTCAGTGAAAAAGACAGTGCCTTTTACAGGGACTGGGACACATCTATTATTCACCTAAGTGTGTATAGGTCACCTATCACCCTGCTCATTTTCATTGTCAGGGCAACATGACAGAAAATTGGTTTCCCCAGGAGCAATTAAATAGAAATAATCTTTTCAGACTGACTTAGACTTTCACTGCTTTGTAGGTTAACATTTTATTGAGGTTTACCTCAGTTTTTTTCTGTCAAAGCATTTTTAATTTTAATGTACTGAAAAATATGAAAATGCTTTGAAATGCAAATCTTGCACATATTTCTTTGCCTTGTTATATATTCATATCATGCCTTGAGGAAACCTCATAAATAAATTACTATAAGGAATCCATAAACTACAATGAGTCAGAATATGTGTTTAGTTTTGTGTACTTTCTTTGTGCTAAGTCTTGGAGGTTCTTTAACTGAAAAACTTTGAGGATATTTTCATACTCAGAAGAATATCAAACTTTTTTTCTAATGAAAGTTTTTGACTCTTCAAAGGAAATTTTTTGTGGACTTACATATATCACTGAAACCTTCCTAACTATATTAGTTGTTAAGTTATAACAGTTTCATAGAGTTTATCTTTTTTCCTTAAGATTTGTGACCCTTTTCACTGTTTTAAAATAAAGCATTTTATTGATTATGATGTATATGAGATGAAGATTTTTTTTCAAACAGTGCTTGTTTTATTTTTTTCACATTAGTTACTATCTTCTGTGTATAGAAGTTATTCTAAAATTTAGTGGCTTAAAATAATATTTGTAGCTGGGCATGGTGGTGCATGCCTGTATTTCAGGCAGCCTCAGTGACTTAGGCCCTAAGCAATTTAGCAAGATGCTCTCTGAAATAAAAAATGAAAAGGATTGGGGATGTGACTCAGTGGTTAAGTGCTCCTTAATTCAATCCCAATACTTTTTTTTTTTTTAATCTCACAGTTCTTGTGGGTGGGAAGTAATCGAATGTGGCCTTCCTGAGTCCTGTGCTTCAAGGTTTCTCATGGTCAATCACTTGGGGCTGTGGGACATAACTAGGGAGGATGCACTTCAAAGCTCACTAACATGGTTCTTGGTAGGGTTCAGCCCCTCCTGCATTGTTGGACTCAGTTCTATTCTGGCTGTTGGCCTGAGGCCTTTATCAGTTATGCCATGTGGGCCTGTCCATAGGGCAGCTTACTATATGACACCTGGTTTCCATGAGAGAAAGCCAAGTGAGAAGACAGAAGCCAGAGTCCTTTCATACCCTAATCTTGGAATTGACATTTACCAAATGCTGTTCTTAAAGTGAGTCACTAGGTCCAGCCCACACTCAAAGGGAAGGGATTATATAAGGACATGAACATCAGGAAGTGGGTTTCTTTGGAGATCATCTTAGAGGCAGCCTACCACATGTTCCAAATTTTTATTTGATTCATGTTTGGTAGGTAGACTTCATGCTTGAAAAAATTGTTATCAAAAAAGAAAAAAGAAAAATTGTTATCACACCTCCCCTTCTCTGTTCTACTCCCCAGATGTGAAGAGAACATATATGCAAAAGAATATATCTTCTATGGTTTTTTGATGATTTTACTCTTACTTACCTGTGCCTGTAGCCAACTTCCAGTTATACCCTGTGTTTCAGACTTGCACATATCTTCTCTGGTGAAAGTTTTCAAGAAATGAGAACATTCAGTGCCTATTTGTTAGAAGAATGAATACAGGTGTGAATGAGGAATTAATTTTCATTTTAAATAATCCTGCCAAGGGAGTTTTAAAAGAAAGTGATTTTGAGCTGCGTCTTATCAAAGGACAAGGAAGGGAATGGATTTTGAGGTAACAAGAAATGCAGTCTCAAGAAGTTATAATATTCATGGTATATCTGGAATGGTGAAAACTTCAGTAAGAATGGGGAAAAAGATCTTTTGTGAAGGAGTGTGATTAATGCTGGAGAAGCAGGTTGAGGATAAATTGTTTTCCATGCCAAAGATTTAGGACCAAACTGTGAGCCAGTGGAGCTCTTTAAGCAAAGAATGAGAATTTTACTAGATTAGTGTTTTAGAAAGAGAAGTTCTGTGACTTCTTTGAAAAGGGACTGGCAGGAAGACCCTAAAGAGCATCCTAATCATGAGAGATCATGAGAGTTGAACTAAGGCAATTGACAGTAATTTTGAAAGAAGATTCTGAAGATTCTTGGCATTTTGTTAAGAGACCTTCAGTTGTTTGAGACCTTCAGTTGTCTCCTAATATATTTTTTTCTATAGTAGTTACATTTTTTTGTCAAGAATTAAATAATATAATAATTTCCTCTCTATATATAAACACTGTGACTAAGTTTTGATCATTAGGATGTTAACAAAACAATCTGCAACTTCCCAAATCATGCTCTTACAGGAAAAGAGTTTGAATTCTGAATTTTCTTTCTAAATTCTCACTAGCTGCAGGTAGACTTGGCATTAAGCCATCTTAGACAGTGTAAGAAGTTATAACCTAAGCCTAGATCTCTGAGGGTTTTTGGGGGCAAAGCCTCCAGCACCTGCTTTTAACAGGGAGAACTAAACTTTGTTGGAGATAAGATATTATTATTTTGGGTTTCTATTATAGAGAGCCAAACCTGATTCCTTAATTATATTGGTAGGATAAGACTTAGGATTTTATACTAATGATAACAGACATATAGTTTGGAGGACCGAATGAATTGTAACCTTGTTAATTGGTATGAGGCTTGAGTGAGAAACTAATTTTGGATTTGCTGATTTTGAGAGGGAAAATATTTGGATGTACTGATTTTGAGATAGCTTCTATTATTTATTAATAATAATCTGCAAGACCATAAGGCCAGCTTTGATTTTGCTTGATTCACTGCCCACTCTCTTCCATGTGCAACTTCTACAAACTCTCACAAATATCCTGTGTTCCTCTACCGCTAGTCATCCTGTAACACAGATCTCCAGCCTGAATCTCCTTGCTATCTGTATTCTCTGTACATATTTTTCAGATGAATGATTGAAGAAAAGAGTTTACTGCCCTGATCATGCCTTTTTAATTGTCTTACATGGTTAGAACATATCATATCTCTTATCCCAGAAACAGCCTGCTAGAATGATTATGTTTCTGACTCACTGTATTTCTATTACATTATTGTTAAAATTAATTTCACCAAAGAATTGACTAGAGTCAATGTAACTGACTATACATGCCATGTGTTCCTACATTTTAGCCTAAAGTACCAAAGGGAAGAAGTACAGGACAGGAAAAAAAAGTCATCCATCCATATAGTAGAAAAGCAGCTCAAATTACGAGAGAGACCCACAAACAAGATAAGAAAGAAAAGTGAGTGTCTTTTCATTATTTGTGTCCAAATTGTTCTATGTACAGTAGTATACTTTAATATCTAAAGGTCTCTTGAATGAGTTGAATATTTAGACTCTCAATAGTAGGAGGTATATGTTAATCTACACGGTTTCTGAAAAGAAATGAACCTTTTATGTCACAATTCTTTTCAGATTTATGAATAGTAATCACCTTGTTTTGAGTTTTTTTTGAAATTTAAAAGATATTGCAGTAGTGTATTTTGATCTTGGTGGCAGCAGTTTGATCTTTTGGAGTGTTCATTACTGTTTTGTGCATAAATATTCTGCTTGTCACAAAACCCACCTGAACATCCATAATCCACTCAAATTTTCATTTATATTTTCAAAACTGATTCTATAGTTATAGCTTTCTTTAGTTGTTGAAGAGCTAAAACAAAGTTTCTAAGAACTTTTTCTAGTAAGTTAAATAGAAGCATAGCATTCCATGTTTCTGTGTTAAAGTTAATGTTTTCAGGTGTCAAAAATTTTTCTTTGGGTAGCTTTCTTGTTATTTTTTGCAAATTTAAAATTTTGCTTTGTAAAATTTTTAACAAATATTTCTTTCCTTCCAAGGTTGAAGAATGAAAAGGCCTTACGTCTCAATCTTATTGGTAAATAAAATTACTTAAAATTAAATTACTTAAAATTCTGGCTATCATGAATGTTTATCTTGTACTCTTTTTTAAAAATTTCCTAGTATAATACTGTTTTTATCAGTCTTTTTTAAATGAGACTTGAGTGAAACAAAACAAAATGAAGCAAATCATTAAATATTTAGAATAAGCAATGTTAGTGATTCACCCAAAACTAGTTTGTGCTTATCTGTCGACTTATTTTAGAATTTTTGCTGTTTATCTTGCTGTTTGTTTATTTATTTTTAGTAAAGCTTTATAGTTATAGAGAGTAGTTGGGTTTATCCCAACAAACTCATATATGCATGGAGATCAATTTTAGTTCATGATCCCTCTCTTTGCCCTCGCCTTTTCTTTCCTATCCTCCCTCACCTCTCCCATTCTCCTTCCTCTGTTCTATTAGACTTCCTTTAACTTGCCTATTTATTTATATTTGATTGATTCTTTTTACTTATGCGTAAAGGTGAAATATCCTGTGGTATATTTATGTATGCACGTATCATGATTTTTTTTAAAGAATTGATTCTGCATTGTCTCTCCTTACCCATCCCTCCACTCTACCTCTTGACCTTTTTCTACCTAATCTTTTCTTTATCTTTGTTATCCTATCCTTCCCTCCTCCTTTCCTTTATTTTACTTTAGCTTCCACACATGAGAAAACATTTGACTTTTGAGTTTTTGAGTTTGGCTTATTTTACTTAGTATGATATTCTTCGTTTTTATCCATTTACCAGCAAATGCCATAATTTAATTCTTTTTTGTGACTGAGTAGAACTCCATTTTTTAAAATAAATATAATTTACAGTTTCTTAATCCATTTGTCTGTCAATGAGCATCTGGAATGATTCCATTATTTAGTTATTGTGAATTTGCTATAAATGATCTGGCTGTGTCACTGTAGTATGCTGATTTTATATCTTTTGGGAAAATACCAAGGAGTGGGATAGTTGGGTCATATGGTGGTTCCATACCTAGTTTTCTGAATAATCTCCATACTGCTTTTTGCTTTTTAAATACTTAGAACTTCATAATCTATTAAATCTGCCTGCCTACCTGCCTGTCTTTCTGTGTGGCTTTCTGCCTGCTTGCCTTCTTTTCTGGTTTAATTTGTTTTGCACCCACACAGAACTTTATATTTAGTATTAAAATAAATTTTGGTTCTCTTTGAAGCACTTTGATGTTGAGAATATAATAAACCTCTTTGCTTAAATGATGACTTGTCATGCTAAAAAATATGTTGTTATTTTTAATTTATAGGTGAAAAACTGCAGTGGTTTCAAAATCATCTGGATCCCAAAAAATTGGGGTATTCAAAGAAAGATGCTTGTGAATTAGTTGAAAGGTAAACACTGAGCATATTATAAGCAAAGGGACAGAATAGGAGATTCTTTAATCTTGTTCTTAGAGACAGAGCTCTGACCTGGGATTGTGAATAAGCAAATAGACGTTGTTATCAGAAAGACTTTAGATTTGTATCCTAGCTTGGCCCCTTTAGTAGGTTTGTAGTCTTTCTGGGCCTCAGAGTAATAGTCAGCCCTATTTCTTAGGATATTAGGGGTTTCCTGGAGGTGTCATTTACCTTGGCACTCACAGATGGGGATTAATAGACCATCATAAGGTGGTTTGAAAGGCATCTAGCTCAAGAGAATAATATCTAAAAAGCCCAGAGGTGACAGCAAAGATGACACATGCAGTGACCTGCCAGACATTTTAACACCCAATGAAGTAACAAGTTTAAGGAGGGAAGTGTGGTTGTTGTAATAAGTAACAACTGTCTTAGGAGAGACCTCATGTGTCTCATGTAAGTTTGGACCTTATCTAAGAGCATTAGGAGGCATGGAGAGCTTTTACAGAAAGCACCTGAACTAAATTTCAGGAAGGTCACAGTTATGAGAATAAGGTAATACAGAGAAGGACACATGGCTTTGGTCAGGATGTAGGTAGTCCAGTCAAAAGATGATAGTGGCATCTGACTGGTATGATAAAGAGAAATGAAAAGATTCCAGAGATGTGAAGAATGTGGAAATCTTAGTCTTTAGTGAAAACTTATATGTAGAATGAAAGGGAAAGAGGAGCCAAGCAGAATGCCTGCATACTTTGCTTGGACAGCTATATGAATGATCATAACTGTTCCCTCAAGTAGGGAGCCCAAGAGATGGAGCAGGTAGTGGGTGATGGGCAGGGACAGGGTGATGACAAGTTTGGGGTTTTAAAAGTGAAGCTACTAGGGGACATCTAAATAGACCTGGACAATAGATAGTTGAATACGAGAGGCCTTAATTCAACAGATAATAGGCTGTGGTTTGGTTGATGAAGTGAAGGATATGGTCAAGTTATCCAGGGAAAAGTTTAAAAGGTTTGAGGACATGAGGAACTCTGAGGAATATAAAAATGTAAAGGACATCTGAAAGCTAGAGGTTTAGTTTTAAATGAACTAATATGAGCCCAAATTCAAATCATTTTTATATTTTTATAGGTATTTAAATAGATTTAGCAGTGAGCTGGAGCAGATCGAGTTACATAACAGCATCAAGGACAGGCAAGGAAGGCGGCACTTTTCCCGGGAAACAGTTATCAAGCAGACGATGGAGCGGGAGAGACAGCAGTATGAAGGATATGGCCTTGGTATGTGCTCTATGCTTTTTCTTTCTAAAATAATAATGGTATCAGATTTGTAATTTATTTCAAAGGTTGAATTTTATTTTTTCTATTGATTTAGTTTGATTTCCTTTTCTATGTGTATAGAAAAATCTTTAGGTTCATTTTTCCCCTGTATTCCCAACAAAACTCAGTTGTGTGACAGTGACATACTGTCTTTCTAGTGTGATTATAATGTTTTTCTTTCCTTTTCAGTGTGTACCTAATTTGTTTTGTTATAAGGGTGCTACTAGTCCATCTCCAGCTGTATCTAATTGGAATAGATACTATGTTCTTTTCCAATTCTTGTTTCATCTAGCTCTACATTTAATCATCCTTGAACAACTTTAGAAATCAAAATTTGTTTCTTTGAATTGTATCCTGTCTAGTTAATTCATAAAGATCAGTATGTTATTACTTTGGTAACTCTGTGGTCAGAAAATCACTTAGTAGAAGAAGATGCTAAGACTTGCAAAACCACAAATTGGTGATTACCCAAAGGCTGCATGGCCGGAAAATAGTATTTAATTAGCTTATTAATTGTCATTTTTAAGTAGAGGGGGAATAATAGCTGATGATTTCAACTGGATAAATACAGATTTCTGACTTCTTTTAAAAAAAACCAGATAATCTGTTAGCATCATCTGTGGGAGTAGATTAGCAGCTATCTCTCCTGGACCTTGGCATATATTTAAAAGTTTGCTGTGGCCCTCACCCTTACTTCATAGGTCTTACCTGGTCCCACTAAGCATTTGTGTTACAAGGCTTTACTTGGAAGGTATATTAAGTGAAATATTTAATAGCAAAATTAAGTTTTTAAGTTTTCATGAAAACAGGATCCTAAGCAAATTGTTCTGTGGGTAATACTAGAAACTCTGCAGTGGGTGGCAGTCCTATTTCATTCCTGAAAATTTTTATAACTGAAAAAGCAACAGAGAATAGCTGTAGAACTAGATAGAGCCAGACTTAAGTCCTTATAGCCAACTGTATAACAGCGGGCAAGTTATTTAACAGGTTGTTAAGCCTCAAGTTAAAAATAGAACAGATAGTATTACCAACTTCCTAGGTTGTTCCAAAGTTAAGTAAGATTTAATTAATGAAAGTGACTGACATAGTACTTAATAAAAGAGAGGGTGGCAGAGAGCTTCAGATAGTCCTATGTCTTTTTTTTTTTTAACTTAAGTAGTTACCTTCTAAGACCATAGAATTAGACTCCATTTCCTTGTTTTTAATTTTCTTCTTTTAAAATTTCATTTATTTATTTAACTATACTGGGGATTGAACCCAGTTTTGCTCTAACACTGAACTACATCCATAGCTTGTTTGTATTTTATTTTTTTAATTTGAGACAGAGCCATACCAAGTTGCTGAGACTGTCCTTGAACTTGGCATTCTCCTGCCTCAGCCTTCCAAGTTTCTGGGATTACATACGTACTCCACTATAACTGGCTTTTTTGGAACCTATTTTAACTTGACTTTGTCCCTACCACTCAACCAAAAGTACCAGCAACTGATGACCTTCAGGTTGCTAAGACAAAATAGTTGTTGCACTGGACTTATATCAGCATTTGATGCAAAACAAAACTTATTTTTTTGCATACTTTTTATCTGGTATAGAAGACCCTGAGCTTTTCTCATTCTCCCGTTCTCCCTAGGTGACTGGTCATAACTTTTTGCTAAGCTGAATCTCTTCATCCTAACCAACTAAAAGTTTCTTCATATCCAACTTACTTCTCTTTTCTATATACCCCATTTTTTAGTTAATCTCGTTTAGATCCATGAGTTTAAATCCCATCTAAATGCTGATAACTTCGATATACATATGGTCAACCTTATCTTGTCCCCAGATCTATCAAACTTGGATATTTCAAACTCTCTACTTGAAGGTCTTATAGGAATCTCAAAAAATGACATTAGAAAGCAAAAGCCTGCTTTTCTCCTAAAACTTACGCCTCCTACAAGTTCCACATTTTAATCATTGGTATCACCACTTGCCCACTTGCTCAGATTAGAAACTCTGGAGTCCATTTTCATAGTTCATATCCAACCCATTAGCAGAATATATTTTTAATCTTACGGCTTTTGCCTGTACTACCACCATCTCCCTAGTTCAAACTACCTTTATCTCCACTGTATAATTATTTACTCCCTTTTGGTCTCTGCTGCTAATCATTCCCCTTATAGTCTGTTCAATATGTGGCAGCTTGATTAATTAGCAGAAATTAGCAGAGTCCATCCAAGTAAAACATATCCTGGTGATAGCGACAGTGCTAGAGCTTAGATCCAGTGCTCTTCTGACTATACCCCGTGCTTCTTCCAGAATCAGGGAGCATAGCTGGTGAAAGAAGCCTTGTGAATTCTGACTAGTTTGCAAGTGTGTAGAAACATGTGGACAGATTGTCTCCAGAAGTCTGTTTCATAAATTTTGAGAAGACAAAATATGAACACCTTTTCTCCCTTTGCTCCCTGGTAATGTAACTGTTTCTGACTCATTTTATTAGGATCCTGTTTTTTTAAAAATTAATTTACACCTAACACCTAGTCCCTCATCCTCTTTACTTTCTGAAAATGTAATAAAAGACAATGTACAGTTGTATCAAACATTTTGGTTTTTATCTTTCTGTTAATTGATACTGCATTTATTTAATATTTTATTACATTGGCTAGATGGGCATTTCAGCAATAAGAGTGAATACATATTAATTTATGATAGCTTTATAATCATGGTAAAGAACTTCCACACATCTAGTTTTTATTAAAAATGGATTTAAATTTTATTGACCTTTTTGAGCATCTATTTGGTTATAGCTTTTCAAACTGTTTTTTATTTTAAATGATGTCCTATTTTAATACTAAATAGTCTTTGCTTTCCTTAGAGAAACTCTACCATGTCATGATTAAGTATGTACTTGAAAAAATTATACTTTTCACCAAGAAAAAATATAAAACATTTCAGCATATTGTTCATAATAGTTTAGTTTAATTTCATAAATTATGTGTTAGGATCTATTACTTAATATTATTTTTCTTAAATCACCTTAAACTAAACTATACTTGCCAGACTTTTTAAGTTAATTATAACAGCGTTTTAAAATTGTGTTTTCCTTTGGATATTCTTGGTATCAATTATTATTTGTTGCATTTGATATAATAAATGAAGAAACTAAAAAATGATGTAATTAAGAGAGAAAATGTCTAATGGCTATAAATTGTTTTCTTTTCCAGAGATCCCAGACATTTTAAATGCAAACAATCTGAAAACTTTTAGGTGAGTGTCTCTTTTATTGTTCCCTGGAAGCTGTATGTAAAATACATGTGACATAACTTCTTCCTTTTCAATTCTAGACATTAGCAATAAAAGAAAATCAGATTTCTTTTTATTAATATTTTCTGTATTTTGTATTTATTTGAAACGTGATATATGCTAAAGTGATAATGACTTACTTTTTCATAATAATTTAATACTTTTCATAATAATTTAATACTGGCTCAGAGTCAAATTCTGAAACTATTCTAGCACCTTCTTTTGGAGAGAAGATAGATACTTAATAGAAAGTGATTTCAGGGGTCTCTCTAATTGTACCCCTTGTAACCAGGGAGAGTGCTAAGTAGGATTTTAAGTTTTTAATTCTCAAACAGATTCTCTGTCTTTTGAAAATGCTGTTGATTAATCATTTTGATCTTGATTAGCTTAGGTTGATGGGCCTGAAAGTTTTTGTTAATTGAAATGGATAAATTTAAATCCAGGCAAAATCAAATCTAAAATTTGTTCCTTATTTCTGAAACAATGTTTGTTCTGCTTCTTCCAAAGAAAATCATAAATGAAAGAAGAGATGAACATAGTTTGTTAGCATTGCTGATTAGAGTTCAGTTCTTGAAACAGTCCTCATATTGCTCCTAAAATAATTGAACATAGAATTGTCATAGAAAATACTGAGGTTGAAAAATAGAAAAGTACGGGGTAAAGTTGGGAGTTCATAACCCACTTGAATCAAACTGTGAAAGATGATGTATTAAGAACTGTGTAATGTTTTGAACGACCAACAA